TACCGAGCAATCAGACGAATGCTGTATACAATGTGATATACATAGGAATAATTACACGAAACACATATTAACATGATATTTTGAGGACAGCCTAAATGCAATCCGCTACACTAAGGACAGCCTTAATGCAATCCGCTACACTGATCCCCTTTGCCCACAAGCTGGCATACACAGTCTGATCCTCCACATATCGGCTTGGGGATGTCCGGGGTTGCTCACGGATCATTTTTCCAAGTCTGTTTGTCTAGACAACCCGTCGGCGTTTCCATTCTGTTTCCCCGGGTGGTACTGGATGTTGAAGTCAAATGGCTGCAGCGCCAAACTCCAGCGCAGCAGCCTGGCATTGTCCCCCTCCACCCGGTTCAGCCATACCAATGGATTGTGATCTGTGAGCAAGGAAAATGGCTGTCCATACAAATATGGCTGCAACTTCTTCAGGGCCCACACCACCACCAGGCATTCCTTCTCGATGGCGGCATAGCTTACTTCGCGGGGTAATAACTTGCGACTGATGTAAGCCACGGGATGTTCTCCACCATCGGCCCCGACTTGGCTCAGTACTGCCCCCAATCCAAACATAGAAGCATCTGTGTGAACAAGAAAACGTTTAGTTGGATTTGGAGCAGCCAAGACAGTGGCATTTACAAGAGCATTTTTCAAGTGTTGGAATGCCTACTCAGACTCTGGGGTCCAGGTTACTTGGCGGGGAAGATTCTTACGGGTAAGGTCAGTAAGGGGCTTGGCCAGTGCGCTATAATTGGGCACAAACTTTCTATAGTACCCCGCCATCCCTAGAAACGCTAACACCTGAGTCTTGGTCCTCGGGGTGGGCCATTGGGCTACAGCCTCTACTTTGGCAAGCTCTGACCTTTGCTTCCCACAACCTACTCGGTGTCCAAGGTACTGGACCTCGGCCATTCCTATACTACATTTAGCAGGTTTCAACATCAAGCCTGCTTCCCTGATTCTATACAGAACCGCTCCTATATGGGCCAAGTGCTCCTGCCAGGTATTGCTGAAGATGGCAATATCATCTAGATATGCGCAGGTATAGTCTTGGAACCCGTCTATAAGTCAGTCCACCATCCGCTGAAAGGTAGCCGGAGTGTTTTTCATCCCAAATGGCACGACCTTAAATTGGTACAGGCCGAATGGGGTGACAAATGCTGACTTAGGGATGGCATCCGGGGCCAAGGGAATCTGCCAATACCCCTTGTACCACAAGCACCGCACTGGACACCACAACCACTCCAGACTCCACAACCGCCGTAGCTTAACTGGAGCCTCGCCATCTTCCATCCACCCTGGATCAGCTTCTATCCTCCAGGACCGTGTGGGGAAGACCTCTCCTCCAGGAGAGCGTATCAGGAACAAGCTCTTAAAAGAGCTAAGCGATTCAAGCTCAGGGGAGTATGCAGAGCATAGCATTCCCCAGTGTGATTATAGCAGCTCCCTCCAATAACGAGACAAGGCTATGTATTGAGGGTCAAACAGGATCTCTTTTACTTGGCACCAAAGGGCCTTACACAGTCCAATAAAAGTCCATAAGCCCAAATGCTGATTTAAGAGGGTACAATCTCCCCGGGGCCATAGTCGCAGGGGAGGAGGCAGGCAAGCTGGCCTCTCCAGGACAAAGTGGCGAAGGGCACTTCATCACACATCTCCCCTTTGGGGGGAAGACTAACTAGGCACCTGACCTTCTGTCGTCAGTGCCTAAGTTAGTCGATCCGCCCACCCACATTAAACAAGTGCCAGAGCAGTCCACCCACAACAAACAGTTACTGCACCTGTGTATCCCTCTGGGGTGATGGGGCAACACGCTGTGGGGACTTGAGGGGCAGAGGCCAGCGGCGCTCTGCCCTGATGCCAGCGCTTCTGCTGGGATGAGGGGAGTACAAGCCAGTCCTGTAACAAGGGGGTTGGTAGAGCAGAGGCCAGCGGCGCTCTGCCCTGATGCCAGCTCTTCCGCTGGTATAGCCTGCAGGACATCAGGCTCTGGACAAGGGACAAAGGGAGGGCAGAGGCCAACTGCACTCTGCCCAGCTGCCAGCTCTTCTTCTGGGGTGCTTGGGACATAGTCCTGCTCAGTAGCCAGGGGAACATGGGGGTCAGTGGGGGTTAACATCTCCTCTGTTAACCCTGGGGCCAAGTTAGGAGTTAGTTGGGGAGTGGAGAATTGGCTTACCTCCTCCTCCTGATACTCCTGCGATGGTAGCTGGGGATCTGGACAGGCTGTCCAGCATCTTTGTGGGCCAGGCACAGAGACCACGGTCCCATCTGCACCATCTGGAAGATTGGTGTCTCCCCTTGGTAGGGTAAGCTGCTGCTGGGGAGAGGGGCTGTGCTCCTCTCCCTTAAACACATGCTGCTGCTCGAGAGGGAGACCGACTGTCTCCACTCCAGTTACATTGTCCTGCTGCTGGGAAGAGAGACAAACATTCTCTGCTCCCTGTAGGACACCATGCTGCTGGGGGGGGAAGGACGACACCTTCGGCCCCCTGGAATTCACACTGCCACTGGGGAGGAAGGACTACACCTTCGGCTCCCTGGAACTCACACTGCCGCTGGGGAGGAAGGATGACACCTTCGGCTCCCTGTAACTCGAACTGCTGCAGGGGAGGAAGGACGACACCTTCGGCTCCGTGGAACTTGCACTGCCGCTGGGGAGGAAGGACGACACCTTCGGCTCCCTGTAACTCACACTGCCGCTGGGGAGGAAGGACGACACCTTCGGCTCCCTGGGACCCACACTGCCACTGGGGAGGAAGGACGACACCTTCGGCTCCCTGAAACTCACACTGCCGCTGTTGAGGAAGGATGACACCTTCGGCTCTCTGGGACCTACACTGCCGCTGGGGAGGAAAGATACGTTGTTGCTGAGTTTGCCATCTCTGCCCAATATTCTGCTTCCTTCTGCAGACCCTCGGCCAGTTCTCTCCTCATTCTCTCTACACGTTCCTCCGTTGGGTTGGGCCCGTAGAGAGCCAACCACCCCTTCAATATAGCGTCAAAACGTACGTGACTATACCAATACTCCAGGTTTGCTGGGTGTTCTCAGGATGCTGCTCCTCGCACTAGGGAAGCCATTCCACCGCTGCCACCACTGTAACGGAACCTTCCATTAATGGACGCTTCCTTGCCTGTGCCGAGGACCACAAGCACCGCACTGGACCCCACAACCACCGCAGACTCCACATTCACCGTAGCTTAACTGGAGCCTCGCCGTCTTCCGTCCACCCTGGATCAGCTTCTGTCCTCCAGGACCGTATGGGGAACACGCAGGATTCAGCTAAACAGAAAACAACACAGAGGAGAGATACGTCTACCGGACCTTAGAATGGCCGGACTCGACGTATATGAGAGGAGACAGAGTCAGGAACGATCCGAAATCAAGGGCACAGAGAGACAGCGTAAACTAGGACAAGCCGGGGTCTGGTACACAGTAAACAGCAAGCCGACAACCAGAACAGATAAGGATTAAGAGAAAACGTAGTCAGAAACAAAGCCAAAGTCAATACGGAGAAACACAACTGAACACAACAAGCGCTAAAGGGAACTGATACAGAAACCACGATAGGGCAGGGAGTAAAGGGAGAGGTAAGTTTAAATAGCTTCAAAACTAATGTGATTGGCTCCTGTCATATTGGTGCCTTGCTAGTGGAGCTGTCAGATGAGCCGCGCGCGGCTTGTGCAGCAGCAGGACCGCGCGCGGCTTGAAGAGAGGACCGCAGCCGGCCCCTGGATAAGGTGAGTGTTACGACACGTACCGTCGGGTAGATGAAGCCGCCGTTTAGGCAATAATCCCTTTTTCCAGAAATGCAGTTTAAATCCAGCCGATCGCCAAACTCCCGAACGAAGTCCACGAACGCGGCAACTCCCGATCAGCTAAACAGAACGCCTTCCACAGCTAGAAATAACGAAAGCGCTGTCCCAGTAATAATTCCCCCACAAACGAGACCAAGCTCCGTCTTGAGGGTCAAATGAAGTTCTGTTTAATGGGGGCTACCTGCCCGGTATTTATGCAGGTCTCCACAAGGTGGACACTCCCCAAGGGGACCTTGTGGAAGACTGTAAAACATATTGGAAGTAGCCAATCGCAGTGGCTTCAATAATAGCCCTTCCCATCTTACCCATAAATCCGTCTTCTCTACCCCGGAGATAATTAGGAAGAAACCTAATTATCTCCCAAGGTAGAGACAATCGCCATTTTAACTTACAGTAATAAAAATACATTAAAATACATAACTGAAGAAATACCGAATGCATATAGTTCGTGTAACGTATCCCCAGACAGCCTGGATCTGAGTGCATGTTTTCACCGAATAGCGCTCAGATCTGATGTATCTAGTCGAATCGCCATGGAGTCAAAGTCCTTCACCAGTCCTTCGGTATACGAATGACTCCATGGGATGGCTGTCGGGGTGAAAGTCCATACGAATGAATAAAACTCCCGAACGACCGACGTTCGCATGCCTTGTCGAAAAGGAAGGTAGGCAGCAGCTTTTCAGCGGTGTTCGGTAGTTTAAGTGTCCGTTTTTAGTTCCATACAGTTTGTACCGAACACCGCTCTGTGTTCGTATGTCCCAAAATGGCCGCTGCCTCGTGGTCGACATGCGAACGACGACCACCCGTACGAATGGAATGGAGAGGTGTCTGCGGTTAACCACAACGTTCTAATTGGGGCCAGGAGGTTAACCAGCAGCACACTCCTCTCCTGGGTGGTCGTTCGTTCGGTAGTTTCAATCGGTATTTTGCAAATTACA